CTTCATCAAGGGGGGGAACATACCAGCTTCAGCCAAGATCACCTCGTCGCCTCCCGGGTGCTAAATGAAAAAGATCGATAGAAAAATAGATTGCGCATTTTCTGCAAGCCTCAGACATACCTCGTCGATGAATTTTGTCACATCGTATACTATTTCACGCAGACGTTGACTTTTGGGACGTGAGCAAAACGACCACGTACGCACCCTTTCCGTGGAGAAGCACGTAGAGGCTCTCCTTGGAGTTGTGAGCCTGAAGATCTGCGAGCGTGATGACCTTGGCCATTATGCGGATTCTTGAACTACAGGGATGGAGGTGAGGAGAATGAAAGCTACGGAATGAAAGGCCAAGAGCGTTGTTTGCAGTTCTCCTTCGTCGCCTAAAAACCGTCACTTGTAAGAACTTTCCCACACGAATCGGAAGGCCTCGCAATGTAAAGTCAGGCGCGATGACACTCGAACGCTGTCCGTTTTCTCGCTCACACGTACGAGCGCTGACTCCAAGGTGAGCTGAACGCTCAAGATGCTTGTGTGCGAGAGTATGGCGTCCGAGACAGAACATTACAGTCATGTTTGCATTGGCTTAGTACTCGAATGACCACAGATCAGTACAGACATGATGGACATCCAAGCGTGGACCAAGCACGCTCCCAATACGAAGCTCCTTCTTCCACTATCACCAGTAAGAAACGAAAGCACTGTGGGCCATGTCCCTAGGCATTGGGAAGTGGACTTTTTCGCAGACGCACCTCGTCTGTAGCATAAGCACAGCTGAACACGGTCAATTCAGCTATGATCATGCTCCAGACGAGCGCGCGTGGTGAATGCAAGGGTTGGGTGCAGAAGTTTGTAATCGCGGAATCAGCTCCGCTTAAATATGTACACTCCGCTGCGGGCCGCACCGACGGGTCTCAAGCTTTCTCCCGCTCCCGCAACTCGTCGACCTCACCCAAAATGACGTTTGGCGACGAACAGGCTGACATTCTAGGGCGGTCCCATCTTGCAAAGACCTGACAATGGCCCTTTCTCTGTTTTGCGTCCATATCCATTCGTTTTCATTGGCAGCTTTCTCCTGGTCTTTGGTTTGCTGGCATCGTATGGGGCTCGTCTCTGGAGGCATTACCAAAGAAATCGCAACTTGGGCCGTAAAAAGTGTGTTTGCTGTCTTTTCCTTATACACAGAGAGCTGTTTAACGTTTTGTTCCCTAGAGCGATGCGTAGACGACACGGAATTCCGGACTCAGACAACCGTCCCTTCGCTGTAGCATATGCTGCAGCCGTTCGTGCGCGCGCTGAACGCGAGGCCCAAGAGGGGATGAGAATGACCTATCGCGAATCGGATCATCGACCTGCTGTTGATCAGCGCAGCGCACCGCAGGACGTGCACTGGACTCAGAAGACGGGTCCCACAACCCGGTGAGTCGATCGAAGCGCATATATTGAACGTGTTTGACCTCATCATGTTTTTATATTATGTCCGCATGTAGCTGTACACGAACCCCAAGGCTCTAGTAAACACCTTTTTGATTCTAGAGACAGGCGTCCGGATGCAGAGTCATTCAACTTCGCTGACCACTACGATCCCCATCCTCCCCGTCGAGAAGCTACATCATCACTTCGAGAGCCCACCGTCAACACCAGGCCTGCAGCTCGTCACGTCAGCCGTAAAAACCTTCGTTCAGCTGACGATTCTTCGGAAGAAAACAGGAAACGGACCTTTGTGGAAGAAAGTGATATCGAGCCTGAGACCTTGAAAAAGTCTCGCATCGATGGCGAAGAACTTATTGATGGTGGCGAAGAAGCAGACTGGTACACACAATTTGCAGACTCTCAGCCTGGGCAAGCGTCACGGACAGCTTTTGGTTCTCGGGGGACAATCGACCATGTACATACTAACGGACGACATGACCATAATGACTCAGGGGATGATATTCACGAGCCAGTGGACGATCCCATGGAAGATGTTGAGGTGGATGAAGTGTCGGAATTGAGGTCAATACCGCGTGGCAAGAAACGCGACAGGGCCGAGGCAGGATCAACTTTCGAAGGTGAAGAAGAAGATGGCATTCAAAATAAAGCTACGCACCATCGCAAACGTCGAACTGTCTCGCGAAGAAAGTCAGAGATTCGTAGTCGAGGGAAGAAGCGTAATCGCGAAGCTGAATCGCCTGAAAGCGAACGTGAAGGCGATGGATCCGAGGACTCGCGGAGGCGGACACAGCGCGGTTCGAGAAAGAAGAGAGGCAAGAAAACTATATCAGCTGAGGCCGCTAGCGATCAGTCCATGGACGATCGCAACATATTTAAGGACCCACTCTGTGGTGGCCGCAGAATTGGGGATACCTGGGAGGACGGTGGCGTGCAATACAAGGTTGGAGACAATGGCGACCGCTTGCGACTCACGCTTGTAAAGAAGGCTCGCAGCAAGTATCCTATGGTAGGCCCCGTCATTTTGGTAATTTCGCGCTACACTAATTCTTTCCTTAGCCCAAGGACTCCCAGCATCCTGATCGATCGGCTGCCTTGGAGATTTATGTGGAGACGTGGATGACGGAGGAACAGTACAAGCAAGCAGAACATCGCCGGGAGCTCGTTTGGCAGGAGTTGCCGCGAACTCCAACCGAGTCCGAGACTCCTGATATTCCCGGATCCCCGACGAAGAATGGGAAAGACTTGCTTTGGGACTCTGTCAAAGGAAGTTCTGCATCCCGTAGGCCTTTCCGTCAGTCACTCACCCCGAGCTCGCCTCGTGTCAATCCATTCCAGCAGTCTCAGTCCCAACCCGTACTCAGTCGTCGGATAGCTTCCTCTAGTACTGTTGCCTCACCACTGCTTTCCGGTCTCGCGGACAGTCCAGTGAAATCTGGCTTCCGCACATTTTCGAAGTGGGAAAAGCAGGACCGCGAAGCTGAAGCAATGGCCAAGATTCGTGCCAAGATGCAGGAGCAGAAGAAGATCGAACATCTTCCTGCAAAAGCACCAGAGATGCCTACGAGTGCGACTGCGCCAGAGCTCGGTACCAGGACGCTAACTGTTCCAACCATCACGTTTACCCCGGCGCCATCTATCTCATCCGATGACAAGAAGCCTGCTAAGCTGGACAGTAAGCCTGCCACGCTTCCTTTTTCCCTTACCCAGCCACCCAGCATTACGGATTCGAAGACAAACACTACTTCCAGTATCCCTACCATGTCTCTACCTGTAACCTCCGCACCCCCTGCAGCACCTGTAACTTCAGCTCCTACCGCTGCGGCCACATCATCATCGACGGCATCATTTTCCTTTGCGCAACCTCCACCCTCCGCCTCCACTACCTCGACGGTGGCGCCTTCTGTGCCTTCAATTTCTTTTGCAAAGCCTCCACAACCTCCAGTAACTGCCAACACTCCAGCGTCAGTATCAACTTCATCGTCTATACCAAATTTCTTTGCAAAACCATCCACAACAACATCTACTACAACATCGCCTTTTTTCTTTGGCGCCACAAGCCAACCACAGTCGTCCACTGTAGCTAGTACAGCCCCAAGCGTATCTGCTGCGCAAGCACCTAAGCAAGCGGCTTTCTCTTTCGGTCAGCCAAATGCGCCTCCCCCTTCGTCATCGATCACCGTACCTTCCGTAGACAAGCCAGCGATATCCATCTTTGGAGCTTCTAATGTAGGTGCTTCGACCGCAGCATCCGGATCTGCACCTGCAGGCCCTCCTGGTGGGACACCCGCACCGGCTACTGGTAAAGTTGATCTAATGGCGTCCAATACTTCCGCGACGGCAGCGTCTGTGGGCAGCTCAAAGCCCACATTCTCTTTCGGGGCTGGACCTTCGACAAAGCCTACGACCTCAACCGCGACGTCATCAGCCCCTTCAGTGCCTAAGTTTTCTTTTGGACAGCCATCTACTAGTTCAACATTCGCTCCTGCAGCCCCAGTCTCCGCGGATGTGCCTAAGCCGAAGATGTCCTTTACGTTTAGCCCAACTCCAGTAGCCTCGACAGGTGCAGGGGATGATGCAAAGCAGGCAACTACTCCCATTTCTGTTTTTGGCTCAACTGGGGGGGCGAAGGATGATTTTACTAAGCACGGCACATCTGCATTTGCACCTACATCTGTCTTCGCTTCCACAGGCGGCACGAAAGTTGATACCCCAAAACCTGCCACATCGGAATCAATGCCTACGACCCTCTCAGTCCCAAAGGATGAGACTGCCAAGCCCTTGTCGTCTGCATTTTCTCCTGGTGCACCTACCTTTGGAGGAAGTTTAACAAGTGGACCTTCCTCTATATTTGGCAAGCTTAATACGCCAGTAACGACGGGTGATGGTAGCAACCTGACGTCCCCACCAAAATCTACCTTGTTTTCCACCACACCTGCTGGTTCGCCTGCCTCGGGCTCCGGGACAGGTGCAACGAATGCCTTCACCTTCGGTAGCAGTGCAACGTCGAGTTCGAAACCTGCAGAGGTTCCCAAACCGGCAGCTGCGTTTGGAAGCATCTCATTCGGCAGTAGTGGGTCTACACCCACGTTCTCGTTCGGGAAGGACGATACGTTACCTTCATCGACCGCTGCACCGTCAAAACCTCCAGTAACATTCTCATTCGATGCCCCTTCGACTTCTACCACGCCATTGTTTGGCCAGCCGTCCACTAATGCGGGCCCATCTGGGACGAGCAGCTCCGCAACTGACGCAACAACACCAACCCCATCAATATTTGGCAAACCATCGACTACTCCGGCCTCGACCCTCAACTTTGGTAATACTGGTTCAGGGACATTTAACTTCCGGACAGGATCAGATCAGAGTCAAAAACAGGCGCAGTAAAGAGTGGCGGTGTGGTTTTTGTTGGTAGATTTATGCCAGATGGAAGTGGACATTGTTTCATGTATAATATACGATCCTTGCCATCTGCAATGTCCTTCGCGCCTTACCATCAAAACAAATTTCGGGACGTATTATTTTTGCGCTTTTCTTTAGTGTGTCATAATCCTCAGTGGTGAAGGTATTCTAATGGCCGCCTGGCGAAATGGCATCGCGTCTGACTACGATGCATCATGTAATCAGGAGATTGCAGGTTCGACCCCTGCGGTGGTCATATTCTTTTCCTGTGCACACATTTATTTTACCTGTGCCAAAGTCAAACACACTCCATTTTAGCATCAACATCCACTCGCAGTTCCACAACGATCTCCTCCATCGCTGCTCCAGCAACCGAGTTCAATAAGAGCAGCAGCGCACATTATACGTTCACATCTTTCATGTCCGTTCTATTTGAAACGTCCCTTGGGGACATTGTCATTGATCTGGAGGTCGAGCAGTGTCCAAAGACGTGCGAGAACTTCCTGAAGCTCTGCAAAGTTTACTACTACAACTTGAACGCATTCTTCAATGGTGAGGCAATTGCTGCAACATTGTGCGAGCAATTTCGGACTTAGCATGTTGCAAAGTGTCAAAGGATTTCCTCGCACAGACAGGTGACCCTACGGCTGCAGGTACTGGCGGAGAGTCTGTTTGGTCGTACATTGCTTCACAAGCAGAAGGCAAACACGTTTCACGCTATTTCGCTCCCGAAGTCGTCCCACGTCTGAAGCACACTCACAAAGGCACCCTCTCGATGGCCATAGCTCCATCAATCAATGGAGACAAGGGTGGCTGCGGAAGCCAATTTTTCATCACTCTCGGTGACAACATTGACTATCTGGACGGCAAGCACGCTGTTTTTGGCCACGTAGTGGAGGGCTTAGAAACGTTGGATAAGATTAATGAGGTTTTTACGGATCAGGATGGGAGACCTTTCAAAGACGTACGCATCCGCCACGTTGTCGTTCTCGGTGTGGATGTTCAGTAATCCTTCATCACTCCCTCATCTGATGATCTTTCCTCGCAGATGACCCGTTCCCGGACCCGGAGGGTCTTATTAAGGCCCCATCTTCACCTACCCTGCCTCCGGACAACTCCACAAGGATAGCCGAAGACGAAGATCCACTGGCCACGTTGCCGGAGGAAGATGCAGAGCGTGAACGGAAGAAGAAAGCTGCAGCAGCATCAGCTCTAACTCTGGAAATGGTTGGCGACTTACCCTTCGCTAACGTTCGCCCACCCGAGAACGTTCTCTTTGTCTGTAAACTCAACCCTGTCACACGGGATGAGGATCTCGAGTTGATATTCTCGCGGTTTGGAGCCATTATGAGTTGCCAAGTCATCCGGGACAAAAAGACGGGGGATTCATTGCAATACGCATTCATAGAATTCGATAGAAGGGAAGACGCTGAACAGGTCTGTTATACACAGCCATCTTACTCCACAAAGATTCACCAAGTCTCTAGGCATATTTCAAGATGCAGAACGTCTTGGTCGACGATCGCCGTATTTGGGTTGACTTGTAAGTGTTCCTCGTACACATGCGGCTGTCGCTGAAAATACGCTGCTCAGTTCCCAGTCCGTGGCTCGACTCAATACCTCTTGGTCCAACGATCCCAAAACAGGACCACGACTACGAAACAAGGGCGGGTTCGCAGGTCGAGATGACCTTGAAGAGACTCGCCAGTATCGAGCAGCTGGACGAGACAATGGCCGCGGTGATTATGGAATGGTGTTCGAAGTCCCAGACCATGGGTCATCTCGTCGCCAGAGACGGAGCCGGAGCAGGCACTGGGACCAAGACCGTGACGACCGAAAAAGGGACCGCTCGGATGAACGCCGCCGCCGCCACCGCTCTCGTTCGCCCGTTCCCTATGAGCGAGAGCGCCGACGGAGCAGGAGCGCAGATCGGCACCGTCTTCGTCGCCACTGAGCCCGACAATGATATTTATGTGTGTTTGTACTTGTTCCAGTACAGACTGGCACACAACCTGTCTTGGAATGCAGAGTGACTTACTGGCACAGGTGTACGCTCGCCTCCATTGGCCACAGAGCCCCACCTTGGCTCTCGTGAGACCTATAAGTTACCCGTTCCATCGTGCGCTCAGCTCAACTTTCCTTAACCCTTACCATGACTGCCTCACATTGCCAGCCTCACGCAGACGATGCAGATGCGGTCCTAGAATCCAGCGACCAAGTCAAGTTCTGTGTTCACCGCTGCATCCTATCCGCTGCTTCTCCGTTCTTTGAACACATGTTTTCGCTCCCTCAGCCTCCCTCAGAGTCTCGTGGTGAAAATTGCCGTCCTGTCATTCCTGTCTCAGAGTGTAGTTCCACGCTCAGCGCAGTGCTCCAGTTCGTCTACCCAGAACCGGATCCAGTCGTGACGTCATTGGACGAGCTCTCAACCCTGCTGTCCACCGCCGTAAAGTACGATCTGTTGGGGGTCGTCGCTGCGTTGCGCAAGGAACTCGTGGCGTCCAAGTTCTTGGAAGACTGCCCTTTACGTGTCTACGCTATCGCCAGCCGGTTCGAACTGGAGCACGAAGCGCAGATAGCTTCCCGTCACACGCTCTCTCTGAACATCCTCGATTGTCCTTTATGTGACGATCTCAAGTTCATTTCGGCTCACGCCTACCACCGTCTTCTCGTCTTGCACAAGACTCGCGCAGAAGCTGCACAGGGTCTCCTTTCCGTAAGTCGAGACGTCAAGTGCATGCAATGCTCTGGGCCGTATTACGGAGCTTTTGTTCCCCCCAAGTGGTGGAAGGAGTTTGAGAAGTTGGCGAAGGAGGAGCTGGCGCTACGACCAACGTCCCAGGCCATCTTCAGCATGCCATTCCTGGCTCGGGCGGCGTCGGCGTCAGGTTGTCTCAGGTGTGCCAGCAGCATATTGGACGCTCACGAATTTTTGGCGGGGCTCAAGAAACAGATTGATGATTTACCCTCTACAATCTGAGTACGTTGCTTACGATACATCTACTGGACTTGAACTGTGGTCTTCCTTCACTATACCTCTCAATTGTATATTTTTTAGATGTGATCTCATCATTTCCACGTCTACATTAGCTTGTGCGCCACTCTACTAGTACTTAAATGCTCCTCATTGTTGCCCACATCGGCGCAAGTGGGTCGGTTTTCATGAAGACGAGTCGACGAGTTGTCACCTATTTAGTTTTTAATCGCTAATCTCTGTAATCTATCACCTACAACTTGTCCTCCGCCATTCGCAACAAAACATGGCCATACCACAGTTAGCGTCATTCAAAGTACCCGTCGTGGATAATGAGCCGATGGTATATCTCTGAATATGACCTGCGCAAGATCAGCCTAACCAGACCTGCAGAGGAGCTACGCCGCCGGCTCTTCAGAGCGTAGAGCACTCCAAGCAGCACTAGCACAAATGGAACGGGAGCTCCCGTTCGAGGTACCTTGCATCGTCAATGGTAAAGAGGTATGTGATACTTCAATGTCGAGACTTGCCGGTCCCACCCAATGTGCCGTAGATCAAGACAGGAAGCTGGCTAAACAGCCAATTCCGTCGGATCATGCTAAGCATATATGTTCATACCACGAAGCTGATGAGGCACTTGTCGCGACCGCAATTGATGGTGCGCTTGCAGCCAAGGCCGAATGGGAGGCAATGCCTTGGAACGACAGGGCTGCCATTTTCCTGCGCGCTGCAGAACTTGTCAGTGGCAAGTATCGCTACAAGTTGATGGCTGCCACCATGCTTGGCCAAGGCAAGAATGCCTGGCAGGCCGAGATTGATGCGGCCGCTGAGGTACGTCAGCGTCAATAACATCCTGTGGTATTTCTGAAGAGCTTGGTAGTTAGCGGACTTCTTCCGTTTCGGAGTCAAGTATGTGGAAGAACTTTATTCACAGCAGCCTCCGAAAAATACCGCAGGTTCTTGGAAGTGAGCGGCGACCTTCACTGTCCGGGGATCTTCCTCTGATTTTGCCGTAGCCGGGTTGAGTACAGAGCGCTTGAGGGTTTCGTGCTAGCTGTTTCGCCTTTCAATTTCACAGCTATTGGTGGCAACCTTCCTGGAGGTATGTCGCCACTCTTTTGATTACCTCCACAGCGACTTATTTGCTCCAATGCCAGCGCCTGCTCTGGTTGGAAATGTCGTCGTGTGGAAGCCCTCACCTGCTGCGACCTATTCAAACTACCTGGTATATCAAGTCCTCAAGGAAGCCGGTATCCCACCTGGCGTTATCCAATTTGTCCCGGGCCCACCCCCTGAGATCGTGGCACAAGCGGTTGGACACCCTAGCTTTTCTGCGTTACACTTTACAGGGAGCACATTCGTGTTCAAGAAGCTCTGGAAGGATATTTCTGCGAACTTGGGCAAGTACCGGAGCTACCCAAGAATCGTAGGGGAGACCGGTGGAAAGAACTTCCACATCGTTCACCCATCAGCAGACATTCGTAATGCCGTGCTTCAGAGCATCCGTGCTGGATTTGAGTACCAAGGTACAGTCATAGAATGGTCTCGCTTCAATCCAAACTCTGATGAAGGTACTTTCATGGTAAGGACAAAAATGCTCCGCGCTCTCTAGGCTGTATGTTTCGTCTTCTGTCTGGCAAGCTGGCTTCAAGGATCAGCTGTTGGCCGAAATTGCAAAGATCAAAATAGGAGCGCCTCAAGACTTCAGTAATTTCATGGGTCCTGTGATGTAAGATTTCGCATGGTTCGTGGAGCTTTACGCCTGACACTGTCCTTCAAGCGGTCGCCCTGCATATGATAAGATTCTGGGCTATATCAACAAAGCCAGAGCCGCCGAAGGAGAGATTCTAGCCGGAGGCACTGGTAGGCCTACTCACCACACCACTTCCTCGTTGCTGACGTCCATTCAGGGGATGATTCGAAAGGCTTCTTCATCCAGCCAACTGTCATTTTGACCAAGGATCCTCTTTCGATTACCATGACTGAGGAAATATTCGGCCCAGTCATCACAGTAATCACTGTCAGAGTTTCTTACTGGAATGTACTGACTTCACGCAGGTTTACGTTTATGACGATGCAGACTACGAGAAGATTCTCGAGCTCATCGACAGCACGTCTGTTTACGCCTTGACTGGAGCAATGTGAGCCACCCACTTCAAGCCCAGGTCCATATCTCACTAACACCGTGTTCCAGATTCTCCTCGGACCGCAAAGCGCTCATCACTGCAACAAACAAATTACGCAACGCATCGGGGAATGTATATTACAACGAGAAATGCACGGGCGCTGTCGTCGGCCAGCAGCCCTTCGGAGGTGCTCGTGCTAGTGGAACAAACGACAAAGCGGGAAGTATCAGCCTCTTCTACCGCTTCGTGTCGGCTAGGAGCATCAAGGAAAATTTCGTGTGCTTGGAGGATTTCCAGTATCCCTCCAACGTGGTCTAAGGTGAGCGACAGGAAAGAAGATCATTCGTTGGTTTGTAAAACGCAGTACCTTATCTTGTACGATTTCAATGCCAAAAGAGATTTGAAATTCGGTTGATGGATTTTTGTCCACGAAAGTGCCATGGTACTGGATTTGTACCGCATCGACTTAGCAGATTTCGCAGTACCTTTGATTCGCTTCCCGTCGCTCAATGCACACCACCAACAGGGCTTGTTGAAGAGGTTCGTGCTGTCGATGGACGTGGGAGCTATAGCTGTACGAGACGTGTATATTCCTTCCCGATCCCCCGAAAGATTGGTGTCACTCCAGACGGTGAATGGCACGCGCCAAGTCTTCAGAAGCCTTCATATCGGAGTCACTAAGAAGACACGCCTGGAAAAGCCCCGGACCTTTTAGAAATAGAGTAAGTTCAATACAAGGTTTCTGGAATATGTATACGATACTGCGGGGTGAGGGTGGACCTACCCGCGCCAACAACGTGCAGTCAATCACGGGGAGGCCATCCTATTTCAACAGATTTCCCTCCCGAATTCCGTCGTCCTCTAAACCTTTCGAGGTTAACATTACTACAGCATGGAAGGGGGACTGCAGGGTTGTTCGTTTGACAAGGCTAAGCTATACTTGTGTCCGTGCTTCTCGATGGCTGTCTGTGCTATTTGCATAATGGGTCCGCACGAATACACCAGACAGCTGTAACAGGTATGCAAAGACTGCCAAACGCGAGAGACTGATCGAGTCATTCATTGTACTCGTCCATCCGTCCATCCAGTCCCACCTTAGCGCACAATACTCATTCTGGCAGAACACGTTTCAAGAACTCTTGTAGATCTTGTTGCTCTCGAGCGCACAGAGAGTGGCCCACCCATTTGTAAGACCTAAAGCACAGTCCAGTTTCCCCGATATTATTCCCCTGCCCCGCTGGAGGGGTTGAAGTACTGGATGTACTTGATAGAATGTCCCCGCTGAGTGTGGTGTTTTCAAGCAGAGCTAAGCCCAAATTGGATGTTAGCTGAGCGACAGAGTCTTGTGCCGCCTTGTATCGCACGATGGGATCGCTGGTGCCATGGCCCCAGTAAATCGGCATGGATGTTGCTTTGGGAGACAGCATCTGTCGTGTGAAATAAAATGTTAGAACACTGAAAGACCAAGGTAAAAAAAAAATTATTCCTGCCTCTCTAAATTGGGAGTGAAGAGGGAGCCATCCGCTCAGAACGGCCAAGCCTCCGAGCTTCCAGCCCTCTTTCCCACCCGCTACGCCTTCTTCGCCACGGGCTGACAACCCAGCCAGGAGCGTCATTGCCCCACCTTGGCTAAAACCGCCAAGGACGATCCGCTCCGGCGGCACACCTGCGTCAATCTCCTTCTGGATAAGCTGGTCTATAGTGCGAGCGGACTTTAGCATCCCAGAGCGATCCTCTTCGGATTGATCATAGCGGAAGTCGAAGGAGTAGATGTCAAACCAGGAGGTCATGCGCTCGGACATGTTGGCTGTCACGGGCATCCGGGGAGCGGTTGGGAGAACCCACTTTACGTGGGGGAATGCAGGGCTCATTGCATCAGCGATGGGGCTCAAGCCTTCGCCAGTGTCGCCGAGGCCCTGCGATATTCGGTCAGTCGCGCACATGACGAAGGGATAGAGTGGAGGAGAGGGGAAGGACATACGTGCACAAAAATGAAGGTTGCGGGACGTTTCACGGACGCTATGTTATATGTTCTAGGGATGACAAGTGCTGCCGCCGCCATTTTGTTTCGAGGGAAAGAACTAGTCGTGTTTAAGTTGCGGAGAGAGAACGAGGGAGATGAAAAGAAAGGAAGATGAGAAATAAGAAAGACAGAAATATGCGATACCCTGAGCGTCGTCTACGGTAGCCAAACACACACACGGGACCTCCAACGAGCTCGTAAAGCGGATCCATGAAATCGATATGCTTCGGAATATGCCGGTCCGACGATGATAGGTGAACCCAGGCAGCCAATCACATCTGTCCTCGCCTCCATGTCGATGGACACCCAAGTCGTGGCGGACGGCAGTCATCAGCCAATAGCAGAACAAATGACGGACACACCGCACCCTCAGGGTCTCTCTAAGAAGGCTCAGAAGCGCGCCGCAAAAGCAGCGAGGCTCCATGAACTTAAGCTTGAACGCAGGGCACGCGAAAAGGAGGCTAAGAAACGCAAGCGGCGCGAACGCGCTCAAGCCATCGCAAGCGGAGAAATCGACGTTCAGGTCGCTTCAAAACGTCGTAAAACTAGTGCTGGCGGCGATGTTAAAAGTTGGGGTGCAAGAGTGGTAGTCGATCTAGGTTTTGATGAACTGATGTCAGACAAGGTCGGTGTCTCACCTCCTTGTTCCATTCACATGGTAATGACTGGCACGTAGGAGATAAACTCACTCACCTCACAATTGGCGTATACGTACAGTGCCAACAGACGCGCACCATACCCCTTTTCCTCATTGTTGTTCACATCACTTAGCGGCAGAACAAAGGAACGCCTAGATGCCATCAACGAAGCTGGATACCGTAGATGGTCAAGCACAGAATGGTGGGAGGAGAGCTACGAACACATTTGGACAACGACCTGTCAGCTCGGTCAGTTATCAGATGGAGCAAACAACCAATCTGGCCCTAATTCCAAGGCCAACTCCGACACCCTCCGCGAAACTATCGTGTATCTAACCGCCGACTCTGAAGAAGAGCTTTTAGAGCTCAAAGAGGGTGAAACCTATATCATAGGTGGCATATGCGATCACAATCGATACAAGGTTAGCTTTCGCCAAGTCGTGTTGCCCACTCACATCAAATACATCAACTCATAGAACCTCTGTCTAAACAAAGCTAACACCTCCAAAATTCGCCATGCTCGTCTCCCAATCGGTCGTTATATCGCCCTTGCCACACGCAAGGTGCTTACTGTCAACCAAGTGCGTTCTATGAATTCATTTTGCTTACTGGAACTGGAACCGTCGTTACACGAGGGTGACCTCCCTTTAAGCATTCCCCTTTTATCTGCATTATCTAGTCATTCCTCCGCGATCATATCAAACCCGTCCTGAACTACAGCCTCAACTCATGATCGGTTAACAGGTATTTGAAATTCTCTTGAACTGGCTTGAAACCAGAAACTGGGAGGAGGCTTTCTGGGCCGTCATCCCTAAACGAAAATTCCAAGGCGTGGAACGTAAAGACGAGAATGAAACTGCGGTTGATGACCAGGAACCCGACGTTTCTAGACCAGGTAACTGGAATGAAAACGATGGACAGGGATTTGACGACGCTGGTCAGAATGCACATGCCCTGGCCAGGACCGCTGCTGATTCCCGCGAGGATGGAGGTGATGAGCCACGAGGAGATATCTCTCAGGGACCACCATCCGCTGGATCATGAACGTCATTATTGTTGCGATGTACAAGATGTACTTTTTGGATTTCTGCCTTGCCTGTCCCCTTTCCATCACCGAGATCCATAATCGTCAAGGTACGCATATTCAATGTCTGCCCCATGGCTGAGTTGGTTACAGCGTCCGACTGTTATGTCTAGTCGCTAGTCATACGATTATCGGAAGGTCGTGAGTTCGAGCCTCACTGGGGCAGGTATTTTTTTTAATGCTTTTGATACTGATCACAACTATGGACCGCCTCTACTACGTATTACACTATGGGGGACAAGGGATCATGCTTGCGAAAGCGCTCAGAAATCATCAAGAACCCCTCAAATAAAGACGGTAAAGTTGCCACGTAGAGATACAAAAGCACCAACGATAGGCTCCAAACGAGCCGTAAGGTTGGTCGAGCTACAGAGTTGCTCGTAGAAGCACATATAGACGTGGTCTAGTAAAATGGCTATTGTTGCAGCGTCTAACCAGTGTCCCCATCCTTGGCGCCAGGTTCTGAAGGTGAAGTTGATTGAGTGGCGGCGATACTTGATGGGCGGAACTTGACTTTCATCCGTTTGGGTGGATCGTCGCCTTGTTTCATCAATGCTGCTCGGCCGGGTCCCTCTTCCTTTGACGTGCCGAAATCGGCACGTTTGGACTTGCTGGCGAGACGTTCCAGTAGTTCACTTTCATCGTCGTCTTCCCTTCGACGCTTTTCAGCGAGTCGTAGGGGAGGGAGTGAAGCTTTGGAAGACACTCTTGTCGTTTCTCCAGTTATGCGAGTAGATGAAGGAGTATCCTTGGGACGTATAAGCGAGTCTAGGAAACCATCTTCTTCATCTGACCACTTTTGTGGAGGGTGCTGTGGAGGCCGTGATATTTGTCGATGGGCTAACCGTGGGCTAGGTGGTATGTCTGCTGAAGGAGAGAGGGGAGATGAGGCGGTTGCTTTCGTAGACGTTTTCACGGGATGAGAGGCAGGCAAGGGTTCAGGAGAGGGTGTTCCAATATCTTCATCCTCGTCACCGTAGTCCACGAGAGACGGCAGGGATGAAGGACGAGTCAGCAGAGGACTTTGAGGGCGGACAGCCTTCGACCCGACCATGGCGCCGCGTCGTTTGCGCTTGAAGAGGCTAAGAGGCGAAGCTGCGCGGCCTCGCAAGTTCTGTTGGCTCGCAAGCGGTGGTAGTGCTGCGGACTCATCATCGTCACCATTGAAGTAGTCTTCTTCCTCCGCATCCATGTTACGGCCCATGCGACGTGGATCTCGGGAATCCCTGGGAAGAATTAGCACTAAAGACAACAAATGACAGCGTTGGGCTTACCGGACAATCTGAGCTTCCTCTTTCGGCGGAGGTTCGATGTTGATTTCCCAGCGGCGTATGAAAGAGGCGAAGCGAGGACCGCCAAGTGGCGTAGCAGCCAACTGACGGACTAAGCTCTCATGTTGGATCATACAGTGGTGAATGGGCTCCTTCATGTTTTCCTACCAGCTTAGGGTGAGCTGGCTTGGCCGCAATAAGGATTCGAGTTGAGACTCACCCGCCGCATGTGGTCAAAAAATTCCTGACATGATGCACTGAGTAGACTATCCCGATGTGACTCCTGTAAGGAAAGGTCGAGTATAGGCTTGAAAACATCCAGCTTCATGAGATGATTGATGAAGTTTCTGTTATTAATTTTGAGGCATACTCGGAAAAATCGAAAGGCAGCTACAGATACAAATAAGTGGGGTCCAAAAAGACGAAAAAAGTGTGACGCACCCAGTCGAAGGTGCTTGTCTCGAGCCTTCAACAGTGTAGCCACGCGAGTAGAAATATTCGAGGAAAGCATGTAGAAATGGCTGCGAAATGCATGTTGCTGAGCGAAATTGCATAGTAAGTCGGATAAGTATAGGTAGAGATTAGTTTTGTCTCGCGGTAACCTCAGGATGGGCTCTGTACAACCGAGTGAGATAAGTACAACGAAGGTAGACCGACCCTACCGGTTTGTTTCCTGAAGTCTGGTATGTCGTTATATGGCCTGAACAAGACTTCTATGCAGTTCTTGTAGAAGTACTCCAAAAACCTCTCAGTTCCTGGGTCGTCCTTGGGTCGAGCTAGGACCTTTGCGTTGACTGCAATCTAGTGAAAAGGGCATGTGTCAAAGAATTTATACTACGTAAAAGCCACTTACAGCGGTAGCTCCAGGACCACCGGGACCTTGCGAAACGTCCAACAATGTCTTCAAAGCATCTCCAATCTGACATTGTACCGCCACATCACGAGTCTGGACCATAACCCCGCACAGAAGCTTCAGGATCGTCTCCGCCTTGTCGGCACCAATGCGCCCAGTGTTCTTTTCCCTATCAATGGCAGCTGTTTGTTTGCATACATGGGCCCGCACACCGTGCAGATCGTGATCAAGCAGAGTGGACATGATGTCGCCCGCAGCACTGATTGTCACCTTCGTTGTTTCTTCCCTCTCCGAAAGCGAGAATGCCCATTGTACAGCAAACAGAATCCCCCGGTCAACGAGTGTTCGGAACAGCGTTATGCGTGCTGGCAGCTGGACATTTTTACCCATCGCACAAAGTTGCTGGATGAGGATGACCACTTCCCGACGAAATGCCACGTCAGCATAGGACAGATTGTCAGGAGGACCAAACGAGAATGGCATCGGTGAAGTCGGAGTTGCATGGTCATTGACTCGCGACACAGTCCTCCCGTCTGCATCCATCAATTCTTCATCAATATCCTCTTCCTTGTCCTTTCTAGGACCTGCAAGCACCTCTTCGCTCACGTACAGGCCCACTATCTCGCGTAAAAAATTAGGATCTTGCTGGACATGATTGATGATATCGATTTGATTAAAGATGATGCATGAGTTTAGGACGTTAAATGTGGAATCGTCAAGTGCTCGCGCGAGGACAACGTCTTTGAGGAATTGCAGACGGTACGTGTGATGCACCTTCCTCCGAATAGCTTCATCTTGAATGGGAATGGGCTGGTGGAAACGGGTATTCAAGTGAAGAAATTCACGATAGTTTGCCTTATAAGTGGGAAACTCCGGATCATCTGACAACGCATCGCCCTCAGTATGCTTCATGGTACGGATGAGCAGACATACATTCGAGCATGCCTACTACTCCAAAATAAATATCATCTTCAAGTATATGCTCGTAGATTCCGTGATCGTTCATCATCACTGGCAGATCGGTGGAATTGGTCATTCAGTTCGGCAGCCGACGGTGAGATGACACTAACGGATGGTCTGCATGAGGCTACACAAAGCGTGCAAATTTTCGAGGCTTTCCAGATCCTCCGCCATATTCATGACATCGATAAGAGCTTTGATATATCCCTGGCAATGTTTTAAGAAAAGAACCAACTTCACAAAAAGTCGGGTTGACAGCCCACCTCGCGCTGGATATATTCGCACATCTTTTCCTTGACTGCCTGTCCCCTAGCAAGAGTCTTGATTGCACCCTCGATGTCCTGAATATTACCCAGCTGCGGGGAGGGTAGGTGGCCAGTGCGGATGATAGTTGCCGTGGTCTCAGAGTGATCGCCACCGGGGGGTGAAGAACTGATGCCTTGGTCGTCTATGCAGGGTATAGGTGTTAGAGATCATGCAAGAGTTGATGTAACGCCTACCTCCGGAGTTCAAGTGACGTTGCACCTCTATAATGAAATTCCAAACCTCCGCACAGCCGTCCGCATCCTGGAAACTCAATGCATAGTCAACCCCATCTGGTTCAGTCCATACTATCAAGCTATCTGCAAGGATGTCATGCAAAATTGCAAAGGATTCGTCAAAGTATATGAAGCGACGCACCCTGTTGTCGCTGATAGACGTCGTTTGAACGGATAGCTGCTGAAAGAATTGTCCTGCTAAAATCCGCCTCGGAGCGCGCCGTAAGAAATGCCTGATTACTTTCATCAAGCTGGCCGAAACAGTATGCCGTGCCTTGATCAACCCATTGTGAGCCAACGAGTTTGTACACCTTGGAGGAGAATGGGAAACGTCGGTCAGAGCAGGCCCTGGATGAAGTCATACAAAGGGTGGCGAGAAATGAACAGGTGAACGAGTGGCTTCAAGATAAAGGGGAAGAGCAGTTTCCGCTATGGAGCAACACGTTGCAGGTATGACGCTTTTGCCATCACGAGTGAACCACCAATAGCGAGATGCATGGGATCAAAAAGACTATAAAATCTTACCTTGACGCGTTTGAACTCTGGCGGTATTTCTGACGCAGATTGTTGAGGGTCCTGCTGGGTTGCTGCGGGGTCAACGGCCTCAAGCATTGCGATATGATCCTCTTTGACATGGTCGCCAAAAAGCTGATCACGAGAGTGTTCAAGGGTGATGTGACTGGAGTCGTCTACGGCTGTGCCGGACTGTGCAAGACAAGCGAGGTCCAGGTCGAGCTCGGCGTGATGAGCGTGTGCAGGTAGCAAGGCATGTGAAGTGGCTGATATTGAATCGTGGTCGAGAATGTCGTTGTCAGAATGGTTATGGGACGTAAGAGGTGATGAAGCAGCGTCCACGCCGCTCATGACAATGCTTGATGCTTCCTCCCTTCCGTGTTCTTCTGTCTGCTGGTTCCTCCGGAAAACAGACAAAAGAATGACCTAACCGCGACAAAAATCTTCGGTGAGCTATATGAGCTTGCAGTCGCAACGCCGAGTCGCCCTTTGGTGCGCCCAACGTCAACGAAGGACCGTGAGAATTTTAAACCGGGTATATCCGACATTGACACCTACCCTTCCTTCAACTAGCAGGTCGTTCTTGACCAACGCCCGCAAGGACAGCGCAGAGGCAGCGGCAGCAACCATCATCCAAGAAATAGCCTCTCCTCTTCGTATTTTGCACGATACTGCTGTGCAAATGAAGTTGCCTTTATGTTCTTTCCAATACCGTCGCAGAGAGATCGACCGAAGGTGTTTGCTATGATCCAGGTTCGAAATCGGAGAATGATACATAGATTTCATGCGGTGAGGGTGCGGTCTCGTCTTCTGACCGGCTGTCGTGTCCATCCAAGACTTCTTCGTCGTCATCAGACAGCGTGTATTGAATGACAGATCGTCCGACCCCTGCATTCGCGGTTAGTATCACCAAGGTGAGTACTATGAGTCTGCTTAGGCGCAATCCTTCGAGCGCGCGTGGACGGTGTCCCCGTTTCACTGATCGTATATTTCCTTACGTAACCAGCTCTTTTGTGGGCAGCTCTCTTTG